TATTATTATTACTCTAACAACTTAGATCCAAACATGATTTATTACTTTTATTGTTATTATATTTATTATATTTATTATCACTATTACTACTATTATTATTCTTATCAATATTATTATTGTTGTTGTCGTTGATATTATTATTATTATTATTATTATTAATATATATTAATATAATCACCATTATTATTATCAATATTAGTATGGTTATTATTATAAATAATAAGTTCTTGCTATTAATATTTGAGAAATAATAACATAATTTTAAAATGCCGAGATCATATGTTAATATGCATTAATGTCCTTTATTATAAGGGATTAAGTGTCAAATGGAAATTTCAATATGGATATACGGGTTTGATCTAACACGCCATTTATTATTGTTATATGTCTGTGTACTAATATCGGATTACTATGAATGGAAGATGTTGGTTATATTAATGTAACTATTAATGTTCTAAAATCGTAACAATATTTATACGGAATATTTAATGTTCCAATAAATAATATTGTTACTAATTGTTGTTGGAGTATTATTGTTATTATTATTATTTGAAAATAAATGGCTTATATTAATGCAACAACAATCAGGAAAAAATACAACATGACTAGAAATTCTTGTGTGTGTTTAGGCTCAAAAGTTCCCAAGGAGTTAAAATAGTAGCTTGGAGTTTGAGAAAAATAGTATTAACCTTGATTTTTTTTAATCTCAAGGTTGACTCTTGGAAGCTTTGATTGTAGTGTTGACCTTTGGTGTTGGAGTTTTGAACTTTGAACTTTGAAGTGGCTCAAAAACTAGCTCTTAAAGAATGTAGATGGAAAAAATGCTCTTCTCAAATATAGGAGAAAAAGGAATCTTTTAAACTTTCCCACACCTAAACTCCTTGGGAACTTTTGAGACTATAAATATGAACCACTCTTCACTTAGTATTAAAAGGTGAATGAGAAGAGGGGAGCTCTCGCGCACACAAGAATTCCGGCTTCTAGTTCAGAATCGAAAATTCGCACCCCCTGCGCGGGCGACCTGCGGGCACGATAGTCGTAAAGTTCAGCGGGTCTCAAAAGACAATTTTGCCCCCCCTTTTTAAGCTTAACCCGGTTTTCCCAGCAGTATATCCGTAAATACTTTTAACCCAACCCTATTTTCGTAAATACTTAATTAAGTAGCATTAATACGAAAAAAACTCAAAATTTTCAACCGTTGAGCAATAATGAAGGGATTGTACCCAGGCCCGTGGAGTCTTTGAGGCAAGTGAGACTACTGCCTGCCTTAGGCCCCCAAATATTGAAGGTCTCATATAATTAGTAATTTTGTATATTACTTCTACAAATGTGTTGTTTTCCATACTTTACTTGATTGCATCATGTTATTATATCAATTCAATCCTTTCTTTTAAAATTTTGACTTCATAATTCATTTCTAATTTTTTATTGGTTTTTTTATTTCATATCCTTAATTTAATGAATACCGTTTATTGTGTCTAACTTTGTTCAATTAAGTCATCATGTCTAATCGAAAATACAATAATACGGGTATATTATCTATGGAGCATAAACTGCTAGAACATTTAGAGTATACAACTTTTTTTTGATCATTTAGAGTATACAACTTTAATAAGTGACTTTGCTACTTAAAAAGGAAGAAAAATAAATAACTAAAATAAGTTTTTTTTAAACCCGGTAGACGAACAACTCATTAGTGGGGTAAAGTCTGGGAAAAGTTTGCCAGATTTGATTATAATACCAAAATATTAGGCCAGAATACCAGAAAGATCATACCTTTCATTTAAATTAAATAGTTCATTTTTCTCCAAACACGGCCTCATTTAAATTTTTGCCTCAGTCTACATATACCTAAACATGGCCCTGATTGTACCGTAGCATTTCGATTTCGAGTCTCCACTTGCTACTTTTAAGTTTGAATGAACAAGACCGTACTTCTTCAGTGTTGTTTCGTCTCAGATACTTCCAAAATGTACGTCAATTTTAATTACACTGATTTTGTCAATCTGTTAACATATTTAATTTACGAGTCATATTGAAGGAGTATATGTGACAGGTTAGATAACATATTCAATATATTTGATACTACCTAGCTTGTTTTTTATCAGTTTATAACCAACTACGGAGTATTTAAAATCATAAAAAACCAACTATTTAACTGAAATTATAGTTTAAAAATATAGATATACGTAGCACGGAGTATAAGCTAATATTCTCGCTTTTGTTAAAGATAAATCATCTTATAAAGATCGAGCAAGAACAGGGCCGGCCATGGGGGGAGGTAGCCTAGACATTTGTCTAGGGCCTCCAAATTTGGTAGGGCCTCCATTTTAAAAAATCTATGCATACAGTTCATCTATAGATTTATTCATAAATATTATTAATATCACACTCCCTTGGTTCTTCAATACTTAATTGGCTGCATAGATTTGTCAAGGAGATTAATAAAAGTTGGAGTGGGTTATGGGTAAAGTAGAAAAAGTATGAATGATATGAGAAAAAGTAAGAGAAAATTAAGAGTATGTTTGATAATATTGAAGTTGGCTAAATTGGATGATTTTGTTAAAATTGATCAAGGTGCTGAAACTGTTAAAAGGCGTAAAAATTTATATCTAAAGCACTTCAAATATTTTATTTGTATAATAAAGAAAAAATTATTTGGGGAGAATTAAAATTATTCTATACAGACTATAATAACTTCAGTCAAATAGTGAGAAAAACTTACTTTCATCTGTAGCTTACATATTTTGTTTATTATACAAGAACGTGAAATTAAAAGTTAGGGGTCATAAGTAGAAAATGAATGTCACTAAACGGGCCCTAACAAAAACAAGGAATTAAAAGAGAAGAAAATGTAGAAAATAGAATTATGAAAAGACATAATTACATAAATATGGCCCAAATAAAGATGGTTTATAAAAATATGACTAGTTACTAGAATATTAATGAAATCATAGCAATTCATATTCAAGTTTTGAACTTAAGTTACCACAACACTACGTTGTATTAATTAATAATCATATTTATGTAATAAGTTTTATTTGAGTAATATTCTTGTAAAAAAACCCGAAAAGAAAAACGTACAAGGTAAATTTTCTAGGTATGAAAATGTTTCAAATAATAAACGGAACCATACAATAAAGAAACGCAGGTCACTAATTGAAGAACATGCATAAGGAATATAACAAGAGTTTAAGAGCGGTACGTATATTATGGAAAATTGTTGAATAGAAAATGGTACACCAAACAAAAAATATTACTTCAAAATATCAAAAATATCAGGAAATTTTAAATACATGTTTTCAGAAAATTAAATACGGACTATCATACTACGTACGAAGTATATAATAACAACAAACCCAGGGGCGTATCCAGGAATTCGGGATGCCCTGGGCTAAATAATAGTTATACTGGTCTTAAATATTATTGAGGTGGGCTAAATGTGAAAATGAAAAAAAATACACAAAATATTGACTTTTTTAAGTTTTCTTAGGCTTCAGCCCACCATAGCCCGTACTTAGATCCTTCCCCTGAAGGAACCTTAAGATGTACTCCAATTTTTTTCTGAAATCCTAATAGAATACTAAATTACTAATTAGTACGGAGTATAAATTTCTTACCGACAAATATATAGTCAACAATCATTATATAGTTAAGGAATTATGATATCTCTAGTGGCGGTTTATGATTTATTTTATCATTAGGTTTTGATTTGTGATGCTTGGTTAATGATAACATTGATCATTATTAAATCAAAATATTAGGAAAAGTGATTTCCAAATCGTTAAATTTATTCATAAAAAGGGTTTTGTGCATGATTAATTAAAACACAAGGAGGTTTGATGCATTTTCTAAATCATAGGGGGCTAAAGCGCCAAATTTCCATATCACGGGGGTTGGTACATTAACCCAGCGTTTGCGGGTGAAAAGGCCGAAAAGCAAACGGCCCTATGTTGAAACTCATTGAACTATAACCGTGTTTGATGAATTATGAAAAAGTGATATTTAAAATATATTTTATAAAATTAGTAAAGGAAAATACAAAAAATCTAAAATAACACTTTCCAACAAAAGCATATAGAAAGTTGGCTCCCTAGGGTTTTCGGCCGATAACCCTACGACTAGGACTGTCCGCCTTCGTTTTTTCGGAGTGCGAGTGTTATTGGTTAAGAAGACGGTGAGGGGGCGGCGTAGACGGTTGGTTAGGAGAACGGTGGGCTCGGATTGGTAGCAGGGGCGGTGAGGTTGGTTATTTAACCAGGTCATTCGGATGAAAGCAGGCGGTGTGGCTGGTTCATCAGACTCAGAGTTCCGGCGAAGCCTTCCATATCTTCATGGAGAACGTTGTTGATCGATATAAGCGAATGGCGATTGGAGGCGAAGAGGAAGAGAAAAATCTTGACGATGGAGAGGCTGTGTAACACCGTCCCCAAATGTATTTACTCTTAAGTGAATAATGTATTGAACCTTATGGAATGGTTAATGAGTATACGAAGTTGTGAATTTTTTATTATTATTATTGTTTTTGCGTGAATAGTAAATTCGCATGTGGGGCCCGCACCGGGAGCGGGGACCGCCCGATATTCCCGAGACCGTATATTGTATTCATATTGGTCGAGATAATAATTATACAGTGGTGGATAATTTATTTGGGAAAAAGAAATGACATAATGTAGACCGATTGGTCAAAGATGACTCAATTGCCGGTATTGGTAATTTAACAGATAACAGCCCGAAATGAATTTCGGGGGCTTATAAATTAAAGTTGGGGAATGTATATTCATTATAAGGGTCATAATGATTGAGAACGCATAATATATTTTATTAGACCTGATAAAATAAAATATATTTAAAACTGTCCGAAAAATACAACTTTCGGGGCCGATTATACACTTCTAGACGAAAAGGGTTGACCTCCCACTTGGGTGGGGGCCAACCCACGAATTTGGTCACCCAAATTTAGATGATTGGCCAGCTGAAGTGATGAAGGAACATGGGAGAGAGTGTGATATGAATGGAATGGAATCAAACAAATTAAAATAAAGTGGGCCTCTCCCCACACCCCTCATTCTATTGAGACAAAAGAAGGCACCCACCTTCTTCCTTCTTCATCATTCGACCATAATCTCAAGAGAGGGAGGAAATCCCAGAAAAATAACACCTTCCATAGCCAAGGACAAGCAAGCTCAAGGAGGTCCAAGGGAAAGAAAGGTTTTCAGGAGGAAAAACTAGGTGGATTAAGGTAAGGACCTTATAATAACTTTTCCTCTATTCTTTAATTATCATATGATTTATATGTCATATGAAGAACCCTTAGGATTGTTCTACATGTTATGAGTGTGGAATAATGGGTTGGAAGGTGGTTCTATGTCCAAAAACGGACATAGAAGCCAAAACGACCGGTTTACCGGAAAATAACCTTTTAGAGGTTATATGTATTGATTAAGGTTTTATGATGTTAAAACCTTGTTAGGAACTTGATTTAAAGTATTTTTGAGCTTCGCCGGAGTTTCGCCGGAGTTGGTCAAAGTTCGCCGGAATTAGTCAAAGTTCAATCGGGAAGCGTAGAACGCGCTTAAGCTCACTTAAGGTGAGGATGACCGACTATATTGCTTATAATTATTGGGTTAATTTCTTGAGTTTACCTAAATGAATTAAATGTGTTTGGCATGGTTTAATAATGATTAAAAATGCCTAAATGAAATTATTATTGTTTATGAGTAAAAATGCATAATGTACAAATTTTTGAACAAATTGTGTATGATTATGTGTTATGAATACAATGGCATGATAGTTGTATTAACCATGAATTTCATTGTGATAAATACACTTTTACCTCACGTAAAGAAGTCATGGAAGGATAAAAGTGATATTTTGATATTAGAGCCAAATTATACTTGAATGTAGAATTAAATGGAAATATACGAACTATTATGAATTAGCATTGGTTATATTAAGATTAAACGACTAGTATATAAATACTAGTCGGAAATGTTAGTTCAATGGTTCTTTGGAGCTAATCCCAAGATATTGAATTGTGGCGGGTACACCCTAAGTAACCTTAAAAGATATTTTTAAGGTGGACTTTATGAACTCAAGTTACATTAGGAGTAGGCCTTAAGGGTTACTCAAAATGGATGGAGCCTAGACTAAGAAGTTGTTTAGGGATTAGATGACGTGACTATGAGCCGAGCTCTAGCACATGGTAGTATGACTATGAGCCGAGCTCTAGCAAAAATGTAGTATGACTATGACCCGAGCTCTAGCAGAATGTAGTATGACTATGAGCCGAGCTCTAGCAAAATGTAGTATGACTATGAGCCGAGCTCTAGCAAAATGTAGTGTGACTATGAGCCGAGCTCTAGCACAAATTAGTATGACTATGAGCCGAGCTCTAGCATGAAGGAACATGAGTTAACTATAAATTAATAACATCCTAGATTGAGGGTCTTGGAAATTGAAACTTTGATTATACTTAGTATAGTTGTCATTGTACTTGTCAAATGCTTCCAAGTAGTGACCTCCCCTTCACGGGGGAGGCCACCTCACAGTTTCAGGTAGAACTTGAAGGTTGCTACCATCGTCGTTGCTTCGGGAGGATCCAAGGAGAGGAGGCGTGGTTCGTGCTTCCTCCGTTTCTATTTAACAAACTTTATAAACTAATGCTCATGGATATTATTTTTAAATATTTGTTTGGGGGCTTGTATGCCCATGGTTGCCAAAGTGTGGCATGAACACCTGTATTAAATGTTTCCGCTGCTTTGAATGAATATTTTACATTATGTTGGTTTATGGATGTACTATGTGTGAACGATATTCCAGACGCCTTGTATAGTATGGATGTGTTGGACTGCGGTTGACTATTCGTACTGTACGGCGGATTGTTGACGTGTCCGGGTAGGTCCAGGGTGTGACAGGCTGAAGACGTTCCAGCGGAGGAAGCGGTGGTGGGCTTCCCGGTGCTCGGGCAAGTGCTGACTGACCGCAAGGTCAGGTTCGCGGAGCTTAAAGAAAAGATGATTACTCTCTGGAGGCCAGGGAAAGGTATGTCGGTTAAGGAAATCGGGGAAACGAGGTACCTGTTTTCTTTTAATCATCGCTTTGATATGAAACGTTTTCTGGATGGGGGCCTTTGGCAGTATGAACGTAGTTTGGTTTTGCTTAAAGAGATTATGCCTGATGATATACCACACAAATTCATTTTGAATGAGGCTGAATTTTGGGTCTAGATTCATAATGTTCCTTACAGTCTGGTAAATCTAGGCACTGCTAGACGTGTTGGGAGTTTTTTAGGAGAGTTTGTCAAATATGATGATTATAAGAAAAAAGAAAAATTAGAGTCATACATGCGAGTTAGGGTTCTTATGAAGATGGATACATCTCTAAAGAAGGGGACAAATTTGAAAAAAAATGACAAAAGTTTTTGGGTGGACTTTATATGAAAGACTGCCCACCTTTTGCTTTATCTGTGGTATGGTTAGTCACTCAGATAATTTTTATCCTCTGAATTATGAAGAAGGTTTGATTTTGGAAAAAAGATTTGGATCTCATCTTAGAGCAGGTAGCGGGGTAAAGACCAACCCTAAAGGAGGGCAAGCCGGGTTACTGGAGGGCTCATCGAGCTCTGGCAAACTGGGAGTCGGCCCAGAGAAGGAGGCAAGGACAGAATCTGCTCAAAGCTTCACACAAGGAGGTGAGGTGCCAAAGGAGGAGGCCTCCAAAAGTAGGAAGATCTGGGAGGTCCAGACAGAGGAAGAACTAGAGGAGGACAACATGGCCACTGATGGGACAAAAAATGGGGAGGAGGTGGGTTTGATTCCTTAAGCCCGTCGGATACACTGGTTGAAGGTGTAAGGCCGAAAGGTGGAAGACTGGTTCTAGTTGTCTGGCGGCAAAAAGGAAGTTATTTATTCTGTTTTGTTTTCTATTTCGTTAATTTTTGCTGTAGCTTTTGGATTTGTTTCTGGTTTAATTTCCTGTTCTGGTTTGTAAGACATTGGGTTTGGATGTGGTGGATGAGAGGAATTTGGTAACCGAGTTAGGCTTATTGTTTCCCGGTTATGGATCAGCGAATTATATTGCTACGGCGATTAATTCCGAGTCTGATTCGAGGGATGATGGTTATCAGTTTTCTTTTTGTCAGTTGACTCATACTCTGAACTTTTATTGGTTATTTATCTAAGCCGATTTCAGTCAAAAAAACAACAAAAGCATATAGAATAGTAACTTCCTACTTATTTTAATTATTATAAAATTCATCACATGAAATTAAGAATTTATTGTATGATAAGATATTGATTCATAATACTTGTAAATTCAAACTAGAGGTTTACAAATGAGCCCTAAAATGTAAAATGGAGTTGAGTGGAGTATATTTAAAAATTAATATCACCCTTTAAGATGTGACGAACAAACATATTGCTTTAAACTATTAGTGACTATAATTGTGTTCAAAGTTTACATCGTAGTAAATTACATGTAATTACTACGATGTAAATTGAACACAATTATCATACTAAGTAATTTTTTTGTTCATAACGTTTTATTAATAATATTTAAGAACAAAACCTCTTATATAAACACTAATCGTAAGGATTTCGCTGCAATAGAACGGAGGTTAAATTTGGAAACATAACATAAGAAAATACGAAGTAAATCCTAAGAGTTTGATATTCTGAAAATGGTTAATTATTCTCTATCAACATATTCATGAGAATAGATAGTAATGGTCTGTTTGGCAATATATTCAATGGTTTAATTGGTTGAATCTACTCAAATTTTGGTTGAAACAATTGAATTACCTAAGACGAATTATGGAAAATTTATATTTGCACTATATTTTATTAATGATATAGAAAAGTATATATATTGCATATGAAAACATCTAAAATGATTCTCTATAATAAATTTAGTCAATTACAATCCTACTTATTTAAATTATTACACAATTCAGTGCGTGAAATAAGAATTTACGAATTTGGAGGTTGTTTGGTAACCCACCTACTTCTATCTTTTCAGTCATATCAATCGACTTTTTTTTTTCAAAACATGTAACCTATAATTTAAAATGTTAGATTACGTAATAATAAAAAGGGAAAGTTTCCGAAATGGGACTAAAAAAAGTTTGAAAATTCCAAAATAGGACTGTCATGTTTTTATTCCCAAAATATGACTAATTACTGCCAAAGTTGGAAAATACTGCCATGTTTGAAGTCTGGTACTGCCAAAACATGACAGTAATTAGTCTTATTTTGGGAATAAAAACATGGAAGTCCTATTTTGGAATTTCCAAACTTTTTAGTCCCATTTTGGGTAATATCTCTAATAAAAATAGTAAGGTTCAAATTACTTTTATAATTGATTTGGCTGAAGTTAATGCAGAAGACCATTTCATCTGTTTTTCATGTAATTTTTTGTTAGGGAAAACTGTCAAATAGGTCCTCGAACTTTCATAAAAAGGTCAATTAAGTCCTTCTATAGGAGGTTCTGTCCGGCCGTCGCGATTTGGGGCGGTTCCCGATGAAATTTTTTGATGAATTTTTTTGAACATCTTATTCATCAGGTCTAGTTTACTCATACCAAATGTCAGCTAAAAATTCAATCGGAAACACATTCAAATTAATTCGTGAAGATAATTGCGCATTTTTGCGTTCTCGAATTAATTTGAATACGTTCGCAATTGAATTTTTACCTGAAATTTGGAATGAGTAAACTAGACTTGATGAATAAGATGCTAAAAAAATTTCATCAAAAAATTCCACCGGGAATCGCCCCAAATAGCGACGGCCGGACAAAGTCTCCTATAGAAAGACTTACTTGACTTTTTTATGAAAGTTCGAGAACCTATTTGACAGTTTTACTTTTTTGTTATATTTCTTAAGAAAAATAATCTCAATATTTTTAAATATAATTTTTCTATAATCCAATAGAATCAGTTAGCGATTTTTTCCTATAATCGGTCAGCCAATTGAAGTAATCTCAATATTATCAAATAGGTTCTTGATAAAGTAAAGCGGACGAGAAATTGGAAATAGTTTTAAACCTTTTATTTTTATACTCCATCCATCTCAAAATGAAGTTTTGACATACATACCTATATTTATATAAGATATTAAGATAGAGTTTTGTTTCGATCAAGTACAACATTGTTTTATGTTAAATCAAGCAAAAGTGAATAAATGAGTAAATAGCAAAAACAATTGTGACTTTTTCATTAAAAAATCATTTCCTTCAGTAAAAAACTTCTTTTTTAGACAATAATGAAAAGAAAGTGGAAACTTTCGGCAATGTTATCTTCCATCACTCCAAAAATTGGAACGAACAAGCTTACGAATGAGTACCCGGGAATTGATAAGGTGGGCCTACACCATCTTACTGATTGCACTTCAGTACTTCAACGTTGGCCCACAGAACGTGGCGGATAAAGCATGATAATAATTTAAAAAGATGAGTTGGATGTCTATCCTGTTTTCATTCTTCTACTACTATATTCTTGGCCCACTTGATTGATTCCCGTAAAACATTGCCATGCCTACTTTTTATTCTGTTTCTAAAATATTTTAACACTAATCTTTGTCAACTTCGTATTAAATAATTCTAAGATTCTTAATTTTTCGTAAGTTCCTTTTACTTTCCTACTAATTAATTATTCAATAGCTTTGAGACTAATACATCAATTATTATCTAAATAGTCATTGAATGAGTGTTTGAACAACTTTATTCAAAAGATACTTCTTGAGTTACTCACATTTTAACGAATAAAACGTTTTTTATTTGGATTTCCACAATGAATTTTTACTAAGAATAAATATTATTATAGTGCACATTATTTTGACATTGTTCAATAATGTTTGAGAATGTACAGTTTTTTTGGAAAAGGATGTATGGCAGTATGGTTGATAAAATCATATGCTTATTTTTACCATCTAAACAAAAAAGGCTTTGATTAGAGACAATCACAAAAGGAACTGAAGTCACTCTCAAAAAGAAGGAACTGAATTCACGAAGTTTTAAAGGGATGTAAGACATTTTTTTTTTGTGTATATGAAACGTGTGGCTGAGTCAGCAAAATTTTTAAGGACTTGTCTACTGCGTACGATGTCCTCCAAGGTTGTCACCATGATTGTGTTGGGGAATGTGGTTTGTTTTTTCAAAAATGAGAAAATAAAATAATCGAACGAACTCAAAATAGAACGAGCAAAGGGATAGTCAAAACTTATGCAACAAACAAAGTTCTCAAAACCAATAAGCTCTCACAGTGCTAAGAGCGTTGCAATTTCAATTTCTCAGCATACGATGACAAACGAACAACAATATATTGTCAATATTAGGCAGTCAATAGGTTGCTCCGGTGAACTAGAACAAAGGGTAGAACAAAAACTCGCGAGAGTTTGTTCTTTAAACAATTAAAGAACAAACTCGTCCAGGGGCGGAACTACAGCTAATGTCAAGGGGGCCATGGCCCCTCCCACCTTTTGAATTTTTAGTTATTAGTATGAGTTCTTTTTTAGTTCCCACAAATTTAAGCCGCATCACTACTATCAGCCATACGGCTGAATGGCAATTCTCGATTTGGGAGCTAAACAACCCCATTCAAATCATTTAATTTTAAAGCTCAATCTAAGTATAATAACAAGAAAAGTAGGTTTGGAATATTTGTGTGTCGACTTGAAAAAAAAGGAGTAGACAGTAGAGACAAAATGGGTAATGAGTTCAATGGTTGAGCTCAACTCCTTGGATGAAGATGGAAATTTGGATTATAGTTTAAGCAAATTAGAGCTTAAGTAAAATAAATAAGAGCTTAAGTTAAGTAAATAAGCCCAGACTTTAAGGAAATACGTTATTGCAACTTTCGAGTATCTATTTAAGGAATTCTTAATTATTTAAGAAGTTGCTAGTATATACTATCTATATTGTCTTAGTTTAGAGATGAAATTGAGCTTGAGCTAAGATAACTTTATGTGAAAAATTCATTTCAGGGCACTTAAGTGTTTATTTCAATATTTAAATATTTGATGATATTTTATACAAGCTTATATTAAAGTCCGATATTTTCGTGCCATGTAAGAGCTACGTTCTAAATTTTAATTCATATCATTTTTAATCATGTATTTTTGAATGTTTTAAATGAATTTCAATATTGTATTTAATATTATTGCATTTGTATTATGTACGTAATAATATGTTATTCCGTATTTTTTTGGCCACCCTCTCAATCGAATCCTGACTCCGCCCCTGAACTCGTCATTAACGTTTAAAATGTTACAACCATTAAACCATGCATTAAGAGTTTGTAACGACCCATTATATTAAACATTTAGAACGTTGCCAACATCAGTTCGTTAGAGAAAGAAACTTATGTTTCAGTTCGAAAATAAAAAATCAATTTATCTAATATCTATGTAAGATGGTTTTCGGACGACATTCGTATCCGCGGGACAACCCCTGTGCGTGAAAAGAGCTTTTCCGGTATACAATCTTGACTCCTTCAAAGAGAATATCGTTTATACGGTGGTGCAAATCCCTTGGTTTTTCTTGTGTGGGAAAATTCCCACTAGAAACTCATCCATTTTTCTAATTTCTCCTTTTCAACGAGCAAACTCTGTGATACTACAGCCCGCTGGAACTCCCTTCAGTACAAATCATGTTTCTGAATCCCTTTCAATTTTGGCTATTTTAGACAACAGTGTCCAGTGTAACAGAGACAAAATGAATCTCCAAGTATCGACAGAAAACACCACTTCTAAATGCAGACATTAGCTCCGGAAATTCACCGAGCCATTGTATCATTTCTTCTTATGAAGCACCCAATGTGTTTCTTAGTGTTAGCTTCATTGAGGGAAACGTGATATGTTTGTAAACCAATAAAGACAAGGAAGAAACATTCACAATAAAAAGATTGAACCGATCAGTACATGTGTTATTATAAATCTTGAAGAAATTACATCAATAGATTTATAAATTCTAATTTATAATCTGTATGAGATTGCTTCGCCGTTGGTGACCTGTTGAAGTAATTCATAGTAACTGATAGGACCGCTGACATGTGACAAGTGTCCTATATTTGGATCTTGAAAGTGAAGGAAAGTTATGAAGAGTAATCAGAAAAAAGAAAACTTCCCATTACAAATTTATATTGTAATTGAAAACTAAAATAGTAACAAACACACTAACCATTGAATTTGGCGCATCCCGTGGAGTCAGGAAGCATAATGCCAAACCTAAAGAATAGAAAATCTGAATGAATACAAAAAAGTGTACATTGGAGACACACAATTTGTAATGAGAAAACACTAACCCGCATTGTACCCATTGAATTTTGGGTAGGAACAATTGAACGCGGACCACACTTTGAGAATGAAGGGAATGGTACATATGATGGATGAAAAGACATCTCATGTGTTGTTCCATGTCTATTGGAAGGGAAGTTATTATAACATGTTGTGCTCCATTGATGTTGAATTAAAGAGGGAGTGATCCTCATTGCGCAGTAAATTAATGCACACTCACTAGAAGAAGAAATATCCAAATTATAATAAACCATGTTTGCCTTAGAAATCAGTCGAACTTACAATTTTCTTTTTGGACTTCTTTCTCGGGCAAATTGCTTGAAATGTTGTTTGGTCAGCCGTACATTGCGAAATTAAAATTATCCCCAAAACAAATAATCGAATGAAATGAAATGGTATGTATTATGCCATAATGACACACAAAGAATGATTGTACATTGCGACTACCTTGGCAATGCTCTGTCTTGCAAACCGAACCTTGTTGTTCAAGAATTTTATGTTCACTAACTCCATCTCCGACGTAGCTTGGTTGTTCACAACTTTGACATTCATTGCTTTCATTTAGGTGTTCACCACTTTCATCTTCACTTGGAAAGTCTTAGGGAGTGTTTGCAAGTGATTGCGACAACTTAAAAAAAAACACTTCTCAGCTTTGGCTTAAAAAAGCACTTATTTACTAAACACTACCATTTTTTACTTTTTCTCGGCTTGCGTGTGAAAAATGTTTTTCCCTTTTCTATTCCACAAAAACACTTATTTTACCAAACACTACCAACTTTTACTTTTCAAAATCACTTTTTCTCAAACACTATCAACTTTTACTACAAATCACGTTTTCCTTACATCTCCAAAAGTGCTTTTTTTAAGCAGAAGCAGTTGCAAACACTCCCTTATACTTATCACTTGCAGGCAAAATAACTTCTCCTCTTGCTTCCATGAGAGAGATTTAAGGGGGTGTCCCCAATATGGATTTGAAAGGATTCTTAAGGAATTTAAAATTCCATTGGAATAAGTGAGTTCTCAATTTGGATTGTAATAGAATTCATTGAAATATGGGTGTCTTCTAAGATTCCACATACTTCAATTTTTATTTATTGAAATGATTTTCATGGATTTGAATAAAATGATAAGCCAAAAACTTTCCACAGAAAATCTCATCCACCCCCTCGGATTTCAAAATCATCGCCATCCAATATAACCTACGCATTGCAGCTTCTCCTTTCTTCCATCTAGCGCAACAAGTTCTCCACTTCTCCCTTGGAATTTTTCTGATGTTCAACCCAAGTTTCATCTCAAAATGATCCCGCCCTTTTATATTGTACGTGACTATGTTTTGACTTCTATTATGTGTTTCTTGCTCAATCACTAGTGTGTAAAAGTGAAACAATCGAAATCAGTAAAGCTATAGCCAATAAAGTATAAAAAGTATAAAAATTTACACTATGTCAACTTTCTTGATTTAGTCACATTTTAGTCATTATGATAATAATAGTGATTGAACTCTATTCTATCAATGTAGACTATTTAATACTCCCTCCGTCCCAAAAACGGTTCACCAAATTAACTTTTTTTAGTCAATGAGAATCAACTTTGACTAATAATATTTTCTAATACGAAATATTTTTGAATATGAAAATTATATCACAATGTTTCTTATCAAATATATTTTCATAGAAGTATAAAATTTATAAATTATATACAAAAACAATAATTAAAATCATTGTCCAAAGATTGTCATCGTTGACAAAGAAAAATCAATACGGCAAACCTTGAGAGGGTTATACAAATTTTGGAGGACATGTTGAGAGCTTGTGTATTGGAGTTCCAAGGAAGTTGGGAAAACCATTTAGCACTTGTGGAGTTTGCCTATAACAATAGTTATCAGACAAGTATTGACATGCCTCCATACGAGACATTGTATGGGAGGAGATGACGTGCACCTTTATGCTGGGATGAGGTTGGCATGGCCAAACGCGAGAGTACGGAACTGGTAGAGATCACCAAGTCAAAGGTGAAAATGATTTGTGAGAGGCTTAAGATGGCCCAGGATAGACAGAAGAGCTATGCCGATAAGCGCCAAAGAGCCTTAGAGTTTAAGGTGGGAGATGATATATTCTTGAAAGTTTCACCTTGGAAAGGGATCATCCGACTTCAGAGCCGAGGGAAACTTAACTCACGCTACATAGGGCCATTTGTAATTCTTGAAAGAATTGGGACTATAGCGTACCGATTTCAGTTGACTCCAGAGTTGGAAAAGATACATAACATGTTCCACGTGTCTATGCTAAAGAAGTATATGCCGGATCCGTCTCACGTATTAGAGAAACCACCCGTGGAAATACGTGAGGACTTGAACTATGTCGTACGACTGGTGAGAATACTTGATAGACAAGTAAAGAAGCTGAGGAGCAAGAAAGTTCCAATGGTTAAGATCCTTTGGAAGAGTGACCGAGTTGAAGAAGAAACTTGGGAAACAGAAGTCTTGATGAAGGAACAGTATGCATTTCTATTTGAATAAGCATTTATGAATTTTGGAGATGAAATTCCCATTAAGAGGGGGGTGAACTTGTGACACTGCACGCAGATGTACTTGAATTTGAAATTCAATACGTATTTGAATTTTCTATGTGAATATTATGTATACATGCACTAGTAAAAAAATGGCTTATAGTGACATTAAATTAGTGTCACTAAACGATTTAGTGACACACTGAAAGTGTCACAGACAAGCGGGGCAAGTGACACAGAATTTAGTGTCACCGTTAACAAATCATTTTTGTGTCACAAACTTATGACATATAAACATCATTGAGAACTGTGATATATACCTAACAAGGATTTTTGTGATACCAATGCATCATGTTTTTTAGTGATATATACATAACAAGAATTTTTGCGATACCATTGCATCATATTTTTAGTGATACACTAGTATCATAAGTGTATATATATAATCAAAACATCCATTACTAGCAATAAATAATCAAAACATCAAACAAATATTTTCATTAAATTTAAATCATCATTCCTTACAATTGTAAATGTACATATTTCACAATGGTATACTCTAAAACTAAAGAAGTAAATATCATTCCTTCTACTCTTCAGCAGTAGGAAGTTTGATGTATGCCATGGTGTGTACAAGACCTGATATTGCTCACGCGGTTGGTGTTGTAAGCAGGTACTTGTCAAATCCAGGAAGAGAACATTGGGAAGCTGTCAAATGGATACTCAGGTATCTGAAGGATACATCAAAGCTATGTTTGTGCTACGGGGGAGCGAAACCAATCTTGGAAGGTTATACAGATGCTGATATGGCTGGAGATCTTGATAGTAGAAAATCTACTTCAAGTTACATATTCACACTAGCAGGGGGAGCCGTCTCATGGCAGTCCAAGCTGCAGAGGTGCGTAGCATTGTCTACAACAGAAGCCGAATACATTGCCGCTGTTGAAGCCGGGAAGGAGCTCAAGTTGCTGAAACGTTTTCTCCAAGAGTTGGGCTTTACTCAAGAGAAGTACATCATTCATTGTGATAGTCAGAGTGCTTTGGATCTTAGCAAGAACTCGATGGATCATTCACGCACAAAACATATCGATGTTCGATATCACTGGCTTAGAGAAGCAATTGAGGAAGATGAACTGAAGCTCTCCAAGATACACACAAACAGGAATGCGGCAGACATGTTAACCAAAGTGGTAACACACGAGAAGCACAAACTATGTACAAACATCGTTGGAATGAGCGAGCTACGGAAAAAGCTGGAGGGGGAGATTTGTAGGATTGCTGCAGCTCCCATACACACACCCACTCCATGGCATGAAGCTCCATCCTCCATCAATTAAAAGGTATGGGAAGGCATGGGAAGGCATGGGATGCTATATGGGCAACATGCAATTGTCTCCCAGCATTTCCCTATAAATAGGATGGTTCTATCTTGATCAAAAGCATCAAAAATCAGAGAGAAAAGTAGTGAGAGTGATACACATAGAGTGAGTGTATGAAAGGGTTGGTATTTTGTAATAGTTGAGTGAGAGAGTTGCTCCTCCTATTGTAATTCTGTTCTGGTTATGAATAGAAGAATTTTCCAATCCTAACAAAATGATGGCTGCGGCTGGTTTGTATGCTAACGAACAGAAAGAAAAATCTGAACTTGGAGCCGCTAATTCTGAAGAGAAGGAAACGAATCACTGCTTGCTTGTTTAGTGAAGAAAAACGATGGTAATCGAACTGCTCTGCGGCTAGGTTCCTGGGAAGAAAACCCACGCTCCTCTGGACTCTTTGGGCCGCTAAGTGGCTACAATTTTTTTTTTTCTTTTGGGCTGATGATTTTCTTTTTCTCATCTCCTTTTGGGTTGTTCTTAATAACTTCTGAAGCAACCCGCAAACGATCCGGCCCAAACATAATATATTGTGCACCGCAAATTCAGCCTGTACAATCACAACTCACCACACCGCTAATAATATGCAATTTTACAATCAAATTACTCCAAAAATGTCAAATTATGTAGAAAAATACTACACCGAATATGAATGTCACCGGGACCGAAAAATAGCAAATTTTCACTCAAAACCCCCAATAGTCACCCGGTTAATTATAAAAATTAGGCAATTAACACCCAAAATATGGTTGAAAAGATAGGAACGGAACGAGCCTATCAGCGCTCGACACCGATCGATCATGGTTAGCCTTCAAAATTGGATGTTACAGATTTGCAAATACTTAACTTTAATATTTTATAGCATCAAGAAAAGAAACAAAAATCCATATAAGCTTCATATAGTTTTAATCATAGGGATCGGACAAACAATACATATAAAAGAGAAGTTTACCAATTTCTCATAGCGATCTCTCTTGGTGGTAGTGCAGGCCTCACCTCCAGTGCACACATCGAATGAACATTATATACTTCAAGGTCAGATAATTGACCAAATATATTTTACAAAGTGTCTGCACCCAAGCTACTAAGGATATCTTTGGAACCATGAAAATGATAACAAAAGAAAATAAGAGAGAAAAATGGGAGGTATTATTCTGTCATTCACCACCACTAAAATGCTATCAACACATGAGAGGTGAGTGGTGAACCTTTAGGAACTACAGAATGTTTCCTCATTCCATGAACAAAAGTCTGTACTAATTATTTTACTCTCTGA